CCATTCTGTTATTTTTTAAAGTCTTTTTGACCATTTGAAATATTCCCTTCTTATCCGTAGTGGAAACAATGACCTATTTGTTGTGGGCTCAAATTTTATCTAAGTGACCTTGGTTCTAAATGAAAAAAAAAAACAGATATTTAACCTCCACAATGCCATTTCATGTTCCTGGTAGAAGATTTGAACATAAACATTATTATGATGTTGCAGGTAACTCATTCACACTGGAATAGAGGGCCATATACTGTGGCCATGCATGTAAATGCTTTGATGTGCAATCGGTAGCGTATGGCTGCAGCCTGTCATTGATCTGTACAGGTGGCCAAAGGTGCGCAAACATCTGGGACTCCTAGACACAGAAATTGTAGTGTTTCCAGCAGTTTTAACTAAGGCCTTTTTCACACTGCTCTGGTGCGGTTTCCTCTATTTCCCCGTTTCAGCGCAGGTGCAGCACGGTGTGCCCGTGCTTTCCTATAGATTTTTATTAGATCTCGCATTTTCTGAAAGCAAGAATGTGTCAATTTTCTCTGAGCAATAAAGAGGAACCTCACCCCCCCCCCCCCCCCCCCCCCTTATTATTTTTTTCCCTGCTTAGCTGATGCTGGGTTCCTCACAGTTCAGATACTCACCCATCCAGTGGATCCAAGCTGGCCCCACTGAGATCATCTTCTCTGCAGCAGGCACTCAGGTCTTGCGCTGCCATGTTCCCTAGGGACATCATCATGAGTCATCATGAGTCTGCCGGCTCTTCCTGGGCGCTAGACCCACAACCCCCTTTTTAATGAACAGAATGACTGCAGTGCTTAAAGTGTATCCTGGTATATGCACGTCACATATCCCAAGAGGTACTGGGAGCACTGACTTCATTTGCCCAGACAAGGAGGAAGGATGGGGAGTGAGCTGAAACCTCTTCTTGTTAAAAAAATAAGTAAGTAGACAAAAAATATAGAGATTGATATTTGTGTACCAAAAAGGGTGTGAGAACCTCATATTAAAGGTGAAAATCCAAATTAAGTAAAGTTAGACATAAGTAAAACACAACAGCTCCTTGGCGTCTGCCACTACAGTGAAATGCAAACCAATTGAAGGTTCAAGTCACTTCCTACTGACTCATCCTGTCAGGAAAGTCGTGCTCAAGCCCAGGCTCAAAGGAATGCCCATACTCAAAGGAATACCCATACTCAAAGGAATGTCCATGCTTAAAAGGAATGCGCATGCGCACGCAAAACAGTCCATAGAACTGTACACAGCATTGGGACCCTGCACACATCTGTGTGCACGTGAGCATTAGTATTGTGCACATGCTCATATGCGTGAGCATGCTTGTTTAATAGACTTTGGCACCTATTGGCCTATTTAAGACCTTACAGGTCTCAGGTTCATTTTTGAGTGGTTGTCAGCTCCTTCTTTCTGTGACATGATCTTGTGCTCGTCCTGACCCAGCTTGTTCATCCTGTTTGTTCCTGAACCTCTGTTGCTGACTCTGGCTTGTGACCCAACCTTGCTTCCTGCCTGTTCAGGTACATCTTCTGCTCGCTTGATACTGACCCTGACCTGGCCCTGACTCTGCTCCTGGTTCCTGACTTTGCACTCCTGCTGCCCAGTTGTTGCTGAACTCTGCCCATCTGACTATGCATCCAAGATCCAGTATCTTTCTACTGCTAGTTAGCCAGCTCCAGCTCTGCATCTGCTTCCAAGATATCCCAAACAGGGTCTCCTGCAGCCAGCCATGCCACTCTGTGCCCTGTTATACCATGTCATCATCCGCAGGGAAAACCGGACACCTAATAAACACCAGGGTAAGGATGAGATCTCTTGGACTTCAGACTATTGTTGAGGAGGTGAGCATTTGCAGACTTTAGTTTTTCTTTAGCTATTTCCGTGAATGCTAGAAGAGCCATCTGAGGCAACGGCATAACACGTGTATCTGTATTGTATTTTACAGGGGAAAGCTGTATCTATGTTGTATGCAGTTTTACCTTGGTTGTCCACAATGTCAGTGATGTATCAATCACAAGTCACCAAAACTTGGTGAATGATCTGTCCAGCATATTGGTATGGTGAAGTATATTGTTATGGTGAAGTATAGGTAAAAATAGCTTGAAGTAAAGGTGCACACCAGTGTGTGTTAGGGATCGTGCACATTGGGTGTAAAAAACACTACTTTTACAGGTTTTTTTTAACTTCTTAATGCACCCCATTGTGTGGCTGTACACAAATAGGTGTTTAGTGCTTGAACATTCTTTCATTCCAATGGCCATAATAAATTAATATTCTGGCCAATAAAACGAATGAATACCAAAATGCTTGACCTGCCTAAATGCGTTTCCAAAATGCAGTTTTAGGCATGTTTTTTTAAGTTGCTTCTCTTCTGCCAGGAGAAAGGGAGTTCACTGGAGATGGGTAAATGCCTTGTGTGCATGAAGCCCAAGTATGTTAGAATTTTTTTATCTGATGCCAGCATAATGGATACAACTAGAGGGTGGCAAGCTGCATACCTCCCACTTTTAGGCTTTTTTCACTTTAATTCGTTTTTTATTGAAACGTTTTAAAAAACATTAAGATAGTTACAGAGAATTTTAAAATTGTACATTTGGTAAGTGATTGTCAAATCTGTAACATATGCTTGTGTACAGTATTAACAGACTAAAGAATTTGTGAACACAGGATGTAATAAGCAGATATATAGGTGAAGCATGGCCTGTCTTAAAAACTCTGTAAAACAAAAGGGGAAAAGAAGAAATAAAGCACGAAAGAGTAAGGAGAAATAACTAAATTGGAGCACAGAGGAGGGAAAGTATGTAGGAATTGGGGGACACCAGGACGTTTAGTGAGAACAGGAGGATTTAGATGAGGAAGCACAAACCATGGGTCTCTAGGGAAAGGGCAACTAAATAAAGTATGTAGGCATTTGAACACTTTGGTCAAGAATCTACTTTACATCTTCTGCATTCCAGCCTTGTATTAATAAGCGAGGTATGGAGGTGTGCTAATCTGGATGGAACCATGTACCACTAGATGAAAACCTTAAGTGCCAATTTGGCAGAAACTATGTTTATATAGCATGAGGATATTGTGGACCAGATTTTTTGCCAGTCCCCATTGGTTTTGGTGCACTGAAGGTGGCTTCACACAGCCTCACTTATCTTTAAGAGCACGTTCAAAGTACAATTACCAACTTCATCTCGGTTGATTTGCCCCTTCCACTCTTGTTGCTCACATGTGGTCACTGGACCATATTTGAGGAGCAGGAAACAGAGGAGCCAAGCACTACCCTTTAGCTGAAGCTGGTACTTGCATATCAGTGCAAGTTGAATTGTAGTCTGGATACTGCAGTAGATTGTAAATCTCACCCTTTAATAAGCAACAATTTTGATTTCCCTATTTTCCTTTTGCAAGATTCTACACTTGTACGTCTTTTTGTTACTTTTTTCAGGGGTGGGTCATGTTAAGAAATGAATATTTTCTAAAATAGTCAGTGTACCTGTAGACGATACCAGATTTACATTTAAGTATAGCAGGAAATGTACAGGCTATTTTAACTTGTAATATTACAATTGAGTAATAATTTCTTTCTGTAGTTTCCAAATATCATTGTAGTTCAAATTTAGAAAACATACCATACAAAAAATACAACCATAAAAATATTCTTACAAGAAAAAAAGGTTATAAGTAATAGAGTATACATTCCATTACACTTCTACTATACAGCTAAAGGGTCAGACCAACCAAATCTGTTATTTTAGTCTTTTGAAGATACTGTGCTTTTAAATGGCATAACAGTTTCTTAAATATCTTGGGGACCCTGATGGTTAGATCTCTGTAGATCCCTGCAGTTGAGTTCCCAGATTCCATATCTGCTTTTGCATTCCCCCTCTCTCTGCATGTTTATTTTATATTATTTACTGTAAAATGCAACAGGACAAGGGGAGTGCCACACTTGTAACATATGGAGTTACGGTTCATAGTGGGTTGTAATTGTTCCAGAAAGTGCCAAAGGGAGAACTCAACGCTGGAGTCCCAAAGAAATATAGGAATCCACTAGACATCTGTGTCCATAATAGACAAACTGTAAATTAAATACCATTTTGGTTGGGCTGATCTTGTAAGCAAAGTTTGGCTCTCAGGTTTTTCTTGCTATGAAAATGCCTATGTACGGGGGGAAAAAACTTCAAATTAACCAATTTTCAGTCTAATGTATAGATAATTGCCCCTTTATGCTCCCTATCAATAAGTGACTGACAACAATCAGGCATAATGGACAAGTCATACAATGTCAGTATGTACCAGTGTACAGTATGTGGTCTTTGCATGATCAATGCTTCTACTACCACCAAAATTATAGGAATATTTGGCCAAGGCACCAAATGGTTGTATCTTTCCAATTTGGCCATAAGCAGATATGAAAAAATTTGACAATCCTGCAAACTGCGGGATCAATTTACTAAAACTGGAGAGTGCAAAATTTGGTGCAGCTGTTCATGGAAGCCAATCAATTTTAAAAATCCCAGCTTGTTCAATTAGGCTTCGACAATAAAACCTGGAAGCTGATTGGTTTATATGCAGGGTTGCACCAGATTTTGCACTCTCCAGTTTTAGTAAATCAAACCCTGTACATCAGCAGGTATGGGCAACTTAAAAGCAGCTAAAGGTTTCAGCTAATTTGCATCTTGGCATGCACTGCAAGTCCCAAATTTGGGCTTGCAAACTTATTTTAATAACATAGCTTGAGAGTTACTGACTACTAAAGGCTCTTCTATAGCAAGTAAGCAAATATATATATATATAATACAGAAATAGCTTATCCTGACATCTCAAAAATTATATTTGCCTATATTTGTTAGACTGGTTCCCAAGCAGTTGTTCAGTATTGGTTACAAAATGATTGAAAACTATTAAAAATTATAAATGAACAGTGTCATGCCAATAACCAAAGTATGCTCTCAAAAATGCAGATTAGGTTATGTACACATATGCAACTCTGTATGTTGATCAACATTTTACAAACTCAGGTCAACAATGACATGTTCAAAAATCTGAGTGTTCCCTTTAAAGCTAGAAGCAAAGACAAAATCCCGTCGATCAGTTGATACTGCTGTGAAAGAACGAGGTGCTTGGATATAGATCTCTTTGAACTTCTCAAAAGTCTTCTTCTCAGGATCCCACTGGTAAATCTGTGAAAAAGTATAATCACTGCCCAATGCTAAATAATGCCTATCTTTAAAGTTAAAGGGTTGTAATGCCATTGCTCCACGGGATGGTAGAGCCTGAATCTCCAAAAATTGCTTTCCATTCCATTTCATGATTTTGGAGTCCCCAATAAATCTGGTCAATGCAATATAAAGTTCATCTTTCATCTTGAAGCTCTTAACTGCTAGAACATCTTCCATGTTTGGAATGTCACTATGAGGGGTGAATTTCTTTGTACTTTTGTTCCATTGCAAAATAAGAGGTATTTGAGAACGACTGGATAACACAAGATGAGGCTTATCATCAATTTCAACTAATTCTGCATCTGTGTCTCGAAACCATTCATGGAGAGACTGATAGGAATAAAACCCTTTCCCATTCCACTTATACACTGTAGTCAGACCAGCCTTTGAGCTGTCAGCAATAACAAAAAATGTTTCACCTTCAATTTGAAAAAGTTCAATATCATTGGGTTTGGAAATACGGGAGACTTCAATGTCTTGAAACTTGGTGAACTTGGCCCAGCTTTCATCATACTTGTATATGTGAGAGAGCCACCAAACAGCTGAGCTACCACCATGAACACCTGGTCGTCAATAAGTATGGCTTTGCATCCAACAATGGACTGGCCTGTCAAAAGGAAATATATGGTTAATTTTCTAAAACTGCTTAGCTTGTAAGTTGGCTTTCAATCACCAAGGCTTCTTTTAGACCAAGACAATTAAAAATGAATAAATAATGCAAAAGTTAAAAAGCAGAAGTCACCTTCTGTGAAAGGTACATGTCAGAATAAATACTAATAAAAATAGTTTCACAAAAATATATATTTTTTTTTTTTACTGATTACAAAGCCCCCAACTACATGTTGGTTTAGATGTGCTGTTATGTTATTGGTATACGGTCAAAAAACAGCCTTATCTAATGATTGACTTCTGTTGAACAGGAACACACACAAACGGATTGGAATTTGGTAGGTCCCTGCTGAAGCGGCTGAAATTAAATCCATCTATGGGCAGGTTTAGAGGTACATTTTGTTTTACAGGCTGCACTTTTTTTTGGATGGCTAATTTTTCTAGCTCCAAATTACCTTTAAAATTAAACACAAGCTAAAAGACAACACAAAGAAAAGAAGACACCCCAGGGTATTTAGCAAGGTGTATATTGTACAACAGACACAAATGCCAGGATGGGAAACTTGGCAAAATGATGTTAATTTGATGTCCTTTTATACAGTATGTCTACTTGATGTATGTTCCTTTTTGATGAGATTCCCCACCACATATTGTCCCGGAGGTGAACATATAAATGAGTGGAAACCTCCCCATTGGAACCACAGATGGCAATAAAAACAGTTATTTACTGTACAATCCTACAATCTACATAAAACAACAAAAAAAATTATTGGCTGGAGTTAGGCTTTAAATTAAAATAAACTATATGAGACATCGGGCTTCTTGGTAAACTTCTATGCAGTGGAAATGTGATCCGCTGTTTCATTTTTTACTTCATTACTTCACTTTTTTATTAAATTTTTTTTTAATTTCATGTATTCCATTTATATCCACATTTTCTGTTTGAATTTTTATTTGAATGATATGAAATTATTAAATCTACAGGCAACTTAATGTGTTACTAAACCCACAACAGTAAAATCAGTCTGTATATGCAGTAAAGCATGCTTGTAATACTCTGTGGAACCTAAGGGATTAACCCTCTGCATTATGTAAAAACACTGTTTCATCCTCACTTCTCTGATCCTCCCCTTCTTCCAGTGCCCTCCTCTTATCTCCTGATAAGACATATCGTGTGGAGTCATTCTGCACATGCTCAGTTTGGTGTGTATTGCTAGAGAGATTTTCTTTCTTCTTGGGAGAGTGTATGTGATCAGCACAGGGCCAATCAGCACTGTCCAGACAGAGGTCAGGGGTCATGCATCCTCCTAGAGCAAAAGGAAAACTCCTCCTACAAGCTTTAACCAATGCTCAGCTGGACACTGATAGAAGTCACAAGACTGCTCTAATGTTCTGTGTACTGTGGGAGACCAGATATAGTGAATGCAGGGTCCTGGGTTTGGTAACACGTTAAGCTTGTCAAGTTATAGTGACTACATAATTGCTTCTAACAATAATCATAGTCCTACTGAAATTACTCAAGTTGTCCCCAAAGAGCTTTAAGCTGCTGATCACTATAAAGTATAGTAAGCTTCAAAACTAATATGGTTTTGGTTTGGAGCTGGTGGTTCAATCTGCAGCAGTAGTGCTCCTTGTCTTCCCTTACTGGGCAGGCAATTATTATTTTGCAGGTCAAAAACATTGGCATGCTAATTTCTCTATGAGGGCAATAATTGCCAATACAGAGTGTGGATCTTAGAGTGTCACTGTGCTTTATTCAGCCACAGGTGCTTTAAACCATCATCCTCTATCTAAATCTAAAATGCCAGTTGAGGGTTGACTTAGCCTTTAGCCAGACATTGAAAGAATCAATTTATTACAGTACCTGTTATATTATCGTAGCTTCTAAAGTTCATTTCAATGTGGTCCCACTCAAGAATCATGCAGTTCTCCATGCTTGGTTGTGCTATTGCCACAAATACATCATTTTTGTACTGAAATGTGTCCACTGACACAGACTGATAGGTCAATATCTGATGGACAACAAAATCTGCAAATAGAGTGAAAACTGTTGGATTAGCTATGTACAAGTTAAATGGATTCTGTAAAGTGTATGCAGTTGTGGGGATGGTTGTGATATGGCCCTGAAGACTTGCATGGGTCATGGTTGGTATTCGTAAGGCCCATTGAATGCGGCATTCGTACAGCCCTGAGCATTCGCATGTCATTGTTCAGGTGAGCAGAAAAAGCAAGGGCTCAACTGACTAGATTTACTTCCACCTGGTTGCACATGTGAATTTGTATTTTGAAAGAAACTACTTCCCATAAAGCTTTTGGCTATTAGCAGAAAATGTACGTATATCTCAAACAGCAACATACCTGGTATAAACACTGCAGTAATGTTCAGTAATGTTCCCTAACGCAACCAGTGCTTGAAGTGAAATGTCTTCTACTGCCAAAACATTTTTTGCTTGGTTGTCCCTTTTAAAATGCCACATTGAGATTTAAAATAAAAAACATAAAAAAATGGGTTGTGGTGGTACAGATGACCAGTTCTGCAAACCTCTACAGCTTCCATCTCACACTTACCCGTAGTTATGCATTCTGAATCGAAACTGGTCACATCATTCAGCTTCTTTCCTTGGTATTCAGGAGGACCAACACAAACCACATCAGACACGGTGGAGTTCGTCATCTTCAGCCAAGAAAACAGCCATTTGGCTTTGCAGTCACACTCAAACATATTGCCTCGTAAATCCCTACAACAAAAAGATAAATGAAAAAGACAAGTAACAGCTAATTACCCCAAAGAGATATCTTAGAGTATGGCAACAAACTAAATTAAAGTTAAACTACATTTTTTTTTCTCCCTGGGAGACCAGTAATGAAATCTCTATTCTTGTTTTCCAGGTCTGCACACCCTTTGTGGCTTTTAAGGGTGTATTCACACTGCCTTCAGTTAGATGCAAGAACCCCAGTAGGGAGTCCCCGCGATTAGCTGCAGGAGGCAGCCCCACTGAAAGCAATGGGAGCTTGCTGGCTTCTGAAACTAATTGCACCCACCCATGCAAGTGATCAACCCTAGACAAAGGCAGTCCCTTTCCTGTTGGTGTAGACTTTGTTGTGGGAGTTAAGGATGTGAATCATTTGTCCCTTTGCCCATGCTTGATGGTAACCTGCAATGCACAGCTGGGCTTGTATTCTGGATCCAGAGCAAAGTAGGTTTTCAAACCATACACCAATAAGCTCTTCCCACTGTTAAAACAATATGACCACACCCAACATTTGGTGCAGTACTCCTTGCATGCATCTATTATCCCTACCCCCTGCTCCACCCATATCCCACCCCAATAAAAGTGGATGTGATCAGTAGAGTTTTCCCAGATATTACTTTGAAAATCTGATCACCAAAGTCTATGTGTGCGTCAGCTAGGAGTTGGTCTTAATAACCACCAGTTTGCAGTCACAACCACTGAGACAGATTCCTAAAGGATACGTTCAACCTTACAGAAAAAATAATAAATGCACATATTTTTGCAGAAAAAAAAATGTGCATTTATTGTTTTTTCCTGCAGGAGCCTGGAAGGCTTTGTACTCCTTTCAAGTCCTCCCTAACCCTCCCTCTCTATCCTTCTCTTCTTTCGAGACTCACTGCATCCGGCTGTTTTCTCCCATTTCTCTGAGTATTGCAGTGATCTATCGGCCTCCTGGACCCGTGTCCCGCTTTCTTGATGATTTCTCCGCCTGGCTACCCTACTTTCTCTCCTCTGAACTACCCGCTATCATTCTCAGAGATTTTAACAACCCTATTAATGTCAACAACCCGGCTACATCCCAACTCTTCAACACAACCTCATCTTTTGCATTAGCACAGTGTATACAGTCCTCCACTCACTCTGATGGGAATACATTAGACCTTGTTTTCTCCTTTCTTTGCACTCCCTACAATCTCACAAACACCCCCTTTCCTCTCAGGCCCCAACCATTACAACCTCGGCAGACTGACCACACCAGAAATCTTAAACGACATAGTCGTGCGCTGGAGCGATTGTGGTGTAAAACCAAATCCCAGCAAGCATTCATATAAATCTGCTTTCTTAACATACAATCCCTCCCTTCATGCTGCCAAACAAGCCTACTTTCTCACTAATATTAATACCTTCTCATCCAGTCCTCATCGTCTCTTCTCTACTTTTAACTCTCTACTTTCTCCACCTCCACCCAGTACCTCACTCACTGCTCACGAGATTGCAAATCATTTCAAAAACAAGATTGACGCAATTCATAGGGGCATTGCCACTGCACAGACATCCATCCCACTTAGCAAACCTTATACTAAACCTCCCTCAACACTTTCCTCTTTTGACCTCGCTACTACCAAAGAGGTCACTAAGGTTTTCTCAGAAGCCCATCTCACTACCTGCCCCCTGGATCCTGTCCCCTCAACTACTACAGTCACCCTCTCTTCTTCCATCCTATGCTCCCTCACTCACATCTTCAATCTTTCCCTCTCTACTGGTGCCTTCCCCTCCCCTCTAAAGCATGTGCACATCACTCCCATACTTTAAAAGCCCTCCCTGGACCCCACCAACCTGAACAACTTAAGACCCATCTCCCTGCTGCCATTTACCTCTAAACTCCTAGAACGCTTAGTCTACAATCGCCTGAGCTCCCACCTCACCGACAACAACCTTCTTGACCCTTTACAGTCTGGCTTTCGCTCTCTACACTCCACTGAAACTGCCCTACTAAAACTCACTAATGATCTACTAACTGCTAAAACCAATGGCCACTACTCCGTACTCTTACTACTTGACCTCTCTGCGGCTTTTGATATGGTTGACCATCCCCTCCTCCTCAAAAAACTCCACTCTCTTGGCCTCAGAGACTCTGCTCTCTCCTGGTTCTCCTCCTACATATCGCAGCGCTCCTTCAGCGTTACCTATAATGCTGCCTCCTCCTCGTCACTCCCTCTTTCAGTAGGGGTGCCACAAGGATCTGTCCTTGGACCCCTTCTCTTCTCCATCTACACCTCCTCCCTTGGTCACTTGATAAACTCCCACGGCTTTAAGTACCATCTCTATGCTGATGACACACAAATCTATCTTTCTACCCCTCACCTCACCCCTTCAGTCTCCACTCGCATAACCTACTAAGTGACATATCGGCATGGATGTCACTCCACTTCCTCAAACTCAATCTTTACAAAACTGAGCTCTTAGTATTCCCTCCAGCCCTTGTCCCCTCCCCTGACTTCTCCATCAAGATCAATAACACAATCATCAGTCCCTCCCCTCATGCCAGGGTACTAGGTGTAATCCTAGACTCCCATCTGTCCTTTCAGCCCCAAATCCAATCACTGTCCAAATCGTGTAGACTTCACCTCCGCAACATCTCCAAGATACGCCCTTTCCTAACCTCGGAAACCACTAAGCAACTTATTCACTCCCTTGTTATATCTTGCCTTGACTATTTTAACTCCCTCCTCATTGGCCTACCTAATCGCAGGCTATCCCCTCTTCAGTCTATCATGAATGCTGCTGCCAGACTTATCCACCTTACTAACCGTTCTGTATCTGCCACCCCTCTCTCTGCCAATCCCTCCACTGGCTTCCCGTTGCCCAACGGATAAAATTCAAAACATTAACAATAACGTATAAAGCCATTTATTACTCTGCCCCAAATTACATCACCGACCTTGTCTCCAAATATCACTGTCATGGAAATTTTGTATTGTTGGTCGAACTTTAAATGTGTCATATGAGTGTTATTCATATGTCTCTCGTGTGGCTTAATTAAAGCTCTGAAGGCTGCAATTGGGCCATGCGCATGTACAATGTATGTATTACAGTACTCAGCTCGGTAATGGATGAGATGGCGGATCTGCGCTTATAGACCGGCGTGTATACCACCACGGCATTCGATGCGAATGCCGCTGGCAGTAGACCGCGGGCCTGTATCCACATATCATCAGCATAGTACCACATGGGCTTCATAACGCAAGGCGCCAAGCGGTGTGAACTCCACATGTAGGCTTATGCATATCTTACAACCCATTACAGACCTGAACTGTATCTTGGATGGATGTGTTTTAATAAAGATCGTATCGGGCCCATCCAGGTACAGACTGGTGTTTAGCTTAGGGAATGCTTGTACAAAGAATTTACATACCAATAGGAGCTAGTAGGACAGGAAATATGCCCTCCACAGAGGGCTCATGGGGGGAAGGGGAGGAAGTCTGCTGACCTCAGAAGGCTCATGGGGGAGGACCAGTGATAGATAATAGGAAAGGCCATGCTCCAATCGGAATGTATGTCCTGTGTATAGGCACTCCCCATTGCATTGTTCGGTGGGAGGGGATTGACTTTATTCATGTGGGGGGCGTGTGTGTTTGTAATAAAACCGGGGGCTGAGTCTGAAACCAGCCCTTATGTGAATTCCAAGAGCAGCCTGAAAGTGTCGTGTGATCATTTCAGGTATAGGGAGCTCCACCCCCCACATTTCAACAGAAGCTAACTCATTTGGATGGGCAGGAATCGTGTAGTTTAGCTGCAGTCGTGGTAAGCGAGATTCGCACAGCTTTATGGGGGATTTCTGCACATCCAACTGCGAGTACTCACGGTAAGGAGAAATTCGTTAAAGCGAATTTCCAAGACACCACCCAAACCATACTCTCCACTCCTCGCAAGACCTCCTACTCTCTAGCTCCCTTGTCTCCTCCTCCCATGCTCATCTCCAGGACTTCTCCAGAGCTTCCCCATCCTCTGGAACTCTCTACCCCAATTTATCAGACTATCGCCTACTCTGCTCACTTTTAGGTGATCTCTGAAAACCTATCTCTTCAGGGAAGCCTATCCTGCTCTCAGCTAATACTGAAATCTTCTACTCTTCCAACCAGTCCATCCCCCACAGTTACTACCTTTTGTACCACTAGCCCCTCCCTCCTAGATTGTAAGCTCCAAGGAGCAGGGCCCTCAAATCCCTTTGTATTGAACTATATTGTTACTGTATTGTCTCCCGTTATATTGTAAAAGCACTGAGCAAGCTGTTGGCGCTATATAAATCCTGCATAATAATAATAATACTTGCTATGAGTAGATCACGGGTGCAATGTGGGCTCCCACAGACATGTCATCTAGCTTTCAGACCACACCTCTGTACAGGCTTTCTGTTTGAAAGCCTGAGGACAAGTCAGTGGATTACGGAGTTGCTCATTAGCACCCCCGCAGCCTAGTCCAGATGGTACTTGTAGTTTATTCATTCATGGGAATATGAATGAATGATATATGGCTGTGAGGGGGAGAAGAACCTCCACCCGCTATCATAGGGAGGGGTGTTTCGGGGGGAGAGGGGGCAGGAGCTGGAACATGTTACGTGTTAGACCCTAAATACAAGTGTAACATGTTCCATGGGTGAACTTGGCCTTTAAAGTGGTGGAAATAAGAACTACCTAAATCTGGCGCACATGTTGGATCTTCCAACAAAACTGTCACAAGGCTTTTCTGATTAGAAGCAGGCTATTTTAAAGGGGCTATACCACCAGAAAAGTGTTGTAACTACTATACTGAATTCCTTTGAGAAGCAGGAAATGTTTGTTTGTAATAAACTCATACATCTGATTTTTTACATTTATTTGAAGCTACTGTACTGCATCATGTGACCTAATTAAACCACCAAGCTACATTTTAATTTGTTTCTGCACATTTTCTTTTACTGCCTGATCTCTATATGGAGTACTTTTTAGGCAAGCCTAGAGTTT